CTACCTATATAGTGTATAATGTGATAAATATAAATAGGTAGTAAGGATTATAAGTTAATCGTTAGGTTAAGAAGCATACGTAAATTCACATCAAATATGATTATAATTTATGAAATTGCAATGGTAACTATACAGGTATAACATTTATAAATTAAAAAATGAGATTGCTGAAGAGTAGTGTGAAGAGAAATTATTGTAACTGTGAAGAAATGTTAACAAATAACTTAAAATCGTAATAATCGTGCTTCATAAAAATATGAAAATGACTTCAACAAATTGTTTTAATTTCCAAAAAATGTTAAAAAAAAAAAAATTGAATTTCAATATATGACATCATTATAAGGTATACATGCACCCCTTACCTACCAGATGACTGAGATGAGACATTATATAATAAGATCGAATCCAACACATTACCTAATCATATTTTAAATATTTTCGTGCAAGCCGTAAGGTATGTAATATATCAAATAACTAGGTATTCTAAAATGTATTGTAAGTAATTATGGTAATATTGTTAAATGCTTACCTCTTAAATAATTTGTCAAAGAATAAACAATTCACAAAACATACAAAAACATACATGTTTATGATGGAAATAAATCGACTATATTGGTATACGAAAAATTATTGTCTATAGTTAATCAATGACGCCGTGGTACGATAAATAGATAAATCAAATAACGTCGCGACGCAGAACGCACTAGATTTTCGACTGCTTTGAGAAACCGTAGCAATAAACTAACAACCAACTAATAATGTATTGATATACGTTCCCCGGAGATAATAAGACTACACTAGCTATCCCATGGAAAATCCGATTTTCGAGGAAATCTGAGCTCTATATCTAATAAGTGTGATCGCAGACACTGTTACATTTCGCCTTTTACTCCARGCGTAATTTGAGATCGCCCAGCCACCGAGGTATTATTATATAGAGTAAGTTGTATGTGCGCCACTCACCCGTGTTAATCATGTAGTATCYATATAATGCCCTACAAATGATGCAATTATTTTACCACTTATTCGTTCTACCTAACGAAACGATAATTTAATTAGGCTTAGGCACATAGCCCTGCAACTCGATTGAAAATTACTGTCAATCAATTTATAATTTACCATTTTAGTTCAATATTCGATATCGCCGTGTTTATCGGCTTGTATAAAAATGTTCAGAAATAATGTACCTACCTAGGTATAAGTTAAAAATTTAAATAAAGTAGGAGAGACCGGGGTAAAGTGTAACATGTTTTTTTTATTTTCCTTATCCCTAATGGCTAATATTGAAAAATTTTTTTTTCCCTTTATTTATATATACAAATCTGTATAGTAATAAGTCACTAATATTGTATACAATTAACATTTAACACAAACAAATACAAATATTATAGTTACAAAAAAAAAGTCACTAATATTGTATACCTAACTGTTTTTTTTCTTCCTATTCTATGTAAATATTTATAAGTATATAATTGTATAAAACTCAAAGCTAATGGCCTATGCTGCCGTTCAATAAAAAAAAAAAAAAATATCTGTTCCTAAAAGGTACAATAAGAGTATTTGCTATAAGTTAAATAAGTAACATGAGAATTTGATAAAAGAAGCCTTTTAGGCTTTTAGGATGGAACTTTTAGAATATTGAAAATAATTAACTTTTAGCAAATATATCTGGCGTTTCAACTGTTTAAAAGTCTGATAAACTTAAACTTGATTGTAAATACCAATATGCCTACCATTAGAAAATATTTGTTCATTTATGTTGGCTCACTGTTCTCCAAAAACGCACTTACACGGTGCAATATAGGTATATAAATTAAATTTAAATGAAAYAAAATATGATCTTACTATAATATTAAATATTTTATACAACAATATTAGTTACGTAAGGTTTGGACCTTTGGTTGTTCTGTAGTATAGGTTAGGTTACATTGTCATGTAACATTTACATACCTATGTTAGCATCTTGATTTTTCATTAGGTATCACATATTGTATTTAAGACTGTGGCTTGTGGCTTTCAGTATTATTCTTAGGTCATATTCATATATATATAATCCAAGAGTCTATTATGTCTCTATACTGTATACATTATACCAATATGGCAATATAAACRTAAACAACTTGATTAATTAAATGCATAATAGCTAGAAGATACATAAAAATCTATGTTGGATTATTTCTTTGAAGCAAACACTTATATAAGAGCATATTATATATCATTAATTATTATTGATATTGACAGAGGTACCTTATATAATATATTAAGATATAAATGTATTATGGACTGACGAGTATATCTACGACCTACGTCATTACGTCAACTATATGCAACGTGAGCTGATTCCGCTAAACATAACAAATATTTCATACAAATATTACAATTTTTAATAATAATATTAATAATATAAGATTTAAATTAGTGAAAAATATCATACTTTATGTCACTAGTGCTTGGTTTGGATTATTTTTTTGAGTGTAACCATTTTCTGTGAAAGTGGTCGTCGACATTATCTGATAATCACTATATCCATCATATGGAGAAGGTTATACTCCGAATTCCAGACAAATAAATATACCTATTCTAAGAACCTAATTTTCAAAATAACCTTGGAAAAACTGGAACTTTCTCGCTAAAAGAGTTTTTGACAAAATCAATTTTTTTTTTATGTAGGTAGGTATTTCAGAAGTAACCATAGGTACTTGACATTTTTACCAAGTATTGATAAAAGTATTTATTTCTATAAATGTCGATAATAGATGTTCTGTCAATAAGCTTGAAAAATTAAAACAGTATCTCTTATTATAAGTTATATGTTTAACTGTTTAGCAATTTAAAGAAAAGTTATTATACCTATTGGAATTTAATAAATTTGATCATAAAATATAAATACTAAATTTACAATATTTTTTTTTATGAGCGTATTTGAAATAATAACGCATTTTAAGTGAGAATTTTGATAAGCTTCGTCAGTATTGCGAAAATGTTCAAATTATCTTGAACCTAGTTAAATATTCAAATAATTTTATATTTTCATATATCTAAGATTTGAAAATTTAATTCAAAGTTCTTATAAGCCAGTGGCGTAGCCAGGATTTCTACAAAGGAGGGGGGCAAAAAATTTTTTATAAATAACATTCAATAATAACAGTGTTTTCAATTTTCCAAATATTTGGATAATGACCCGCTTATCAATCTAAGGTGTTTTGATAAACAATAAACATAACATTTATTTTAATTTTAACTCCCAACCGGTACATAGCCAATCGTAATAAATTTACGATTATTTTTTATATATTATTATATAATAGGGCGCCGCGGCTTTATTACGGCCCATGGCGGGCATGGCCCCTGTGCCCCCCTGGCTACGCCACTGTTAAAAAAAGTTGTGCTTACAAGAAAAAAATTAAATTCTTACTTTTTACAATTTTAAAAGTAAATTAAATTAAAAGTTAAAAGTTTAAATTTCGACGAATTTGGATATATTTATGCTTGAAACAACGATTTCTCGTTCTAACATAGCTTAAATAGATAAATATTACWTATTAGGTACTTTTTGCTATATTCTGGCTCAATTGCCACAATCTATATTTTTCTCAACTTTATCTAAGTCTCCCTCTACGTACGGTACGTGAATTATAATTTAAAACCTAATCTAATTTAGGTACTCATACAAAATAATAAATTTCTAAAACTTAATATTTTAATATATACAAGGGCGCCCATTAATCAAAACCTATTTGGGGGGGGGGTTGACAATCATAAAATAATTAACTCGAAAATATACATTTTATTTGTGAACAAAAATAAGATTTTAAAACATAACCTGTCAATTGCATTTTTTCAAACCAAATTGACAACAAACAACTTTTTACATTTGCAATAAATTTTCTTGAGGAGTAACATCTCACACCCTTGCACCCCCTGATGGGTGCCCTGTGCCCTTGTATTAAAATATTCTTGTTACCTATTTTTTAAATTCAATACATTTATGGGAGTCCGTTGTAAGTTGCTGTACGATTTATCTATTACATGCAGAAACGTTTTTTCCGAACTGAAATCAGCGTTCATCTTTAATGCTTGTTCCCATTCGAGTACTGTTTATGAACGTGACATTAGCATACTATGTTGTCTACTTGTCTCCGATTAACAATTACATAACAAAGCAAATTTACGCTAAGTAGATCACGTTCAACTCCGTTAGTTTAAAAATTAGAGTGAATCGACCTATTATGAAACTTGATGTTAAAAACATTATCTGAGTTTTTATGATGTTTTTTTTTACAATAGTTAAATTCTTTAGAAAGTTATGCAAATATAAAAAGTGTAAATTAAAAATGCTCATAACTCCCTCAAAAACTAAGTTATCGTAAAAAACTTACATACAAAACATAAACAATATTCTTACCATCAAATTTCATAATGGGTCAATTTACTCTAATTTTTAAACTAAGGTAATAAGTACAGAGTTATGTTAAACATGATCTGCTAAGCGTAAATTTGGTGTTAGCTTCAGGTCTTCAGCAGTTGTAAGACGGGGACAGGACGACAAATATGTGTGTAGCGTCTTCTTAAAGCCTTAAATCGTATGATCATCTATTTTTACAATGATCTAACAGTAAACATAAGTACCGCTGTTACAGAGGCTCTGTAGTTCCAAGAAAAAATAAAATTATGGTCCAAATTTAGAAATATAACTGCATAAATATGTATAAAGTACCTATAAGTAAACAATGTACCTACACAAATATCCTTAGAGCTAAAAATGACAACTTCAGACAATAAATGTACATTTTTTAGATTCTGGGGGTCTATATTTTTGAATTTTATTTTAGCATGCCAAATATATATTAGTACACTAAAACATCGTATTTTAGTTCAACTATTAGTGCAAGACCAAAAAACCGTATTTTTGAAGATTGGTTCACTAAAACTTTTGAATTGGTGCACTAAAGTTTTAGATTAACTTATTAGAGTAAGTATCCACCACACTAATCGTGATTTTAGCATACTAATTACTATTATCAATGTTTTTTTTGTGAAACTTTTTTGTGTAGGTATCTCTTGTGTACTTTTAACTTATGCGAAAATGGAACATTTCTTAAATTTAAATTACATCCAAGCTATTAACAATTTGGAAATTATGGAGGAAAGACAATATGAATTTTCCTAGTTGTTTAAATATTTAATAACTATTATTACCTATATGAATAACATATCATACTTATTTTATAGCATTGACTGAAAGAGCGTTCGTCAAAAAATTCAGACTCACAAAAGCTCTAGTCAATTTATTAATAGATGAACTGCGTCCATATACCTTGAACCCCCCTCTAGAAAATCTGCTATAAGTATTGAGCGTAAAGTGAGCCAAATAATATATCACATAGCCTAAAGTATACCTGCGTAATATGTTAAACGTGTGTTGCACTATTTAGGTTTTAACGGCTTTACGATTTTTCGCAAGTGGCTCTTATCAGCAGGACGTTGGGGAAAATCGAGCTTCATCTCTGAGTCAACCTTCAGTTAGTAAATGCATAACCGAAGTATGTGATGCATTGAATATGCCTAATATATTTAATAAGTACGTAAGGTTTCCATCGACATTGTATGAATTAAATCATATTAGGCAGGAGTAAGTTAACATTATATTATGTTATAATGTTTTATAGGTACCTACTTATATATTATAAATAATCACTGCAACACTGTTAATATACAATAAGGTTATTTATTATTTATTATTTATTTTTTATTTATTCATAAAGTCACTTACTTGCAAGAGCAATTTAAACTGAAACTAACCATACATTTGGTATGCAAAACCACCTCAGGTATGTCTCATAGGATAATTTTAGATTTTGAGCGGAGCGATGAATGTATTGGATTTTACCATGTGTATTTTTTTATTTTTGTTTTGTGTCTGTCATCACGTTTTGGGGCAGTAAAAATGCTT